AACTCACTGCTGAGTCATTTCTAACTCATAGCAACCCTACAGGTCAGGGCAGAACAGTCCCTGTGAGTTTCTGAAACAGTTAACTCTTTACAGGCGTAGAAAGCCTTGAATTTGTCCCGTGGAGCGCTGGTGGTTTCAAACTGCAGGCCTTGCAGTTAGCAGTCCCACACATAGCCACTATGCACCAGAGGGAACTAACGAGCTCAGTGGTGTTTTAGTGGTAGAATTCTCACCCTCCACGCAGGGGACGGACCAGAGTCCCAGCCAGTGCACTTCTTGTGTAGTGACTGCCTTGTCTGTGAAGACTTGGTGTGTGCTATGATGCTCAGTAGGTCCCAGCTAAGACAGCCGAGGACGGCCTGGCTGTCAACTTGTAAAAATCGGCCAATGCAACCTTCTGAATCACAAGCATGCAATCTGCAACCAATCATGGGGATGGCACAGGACTGAGCAGCATTGTGTCTCATTGTGCAGGGGGTTGTCAAGCATTGGAGGCAAATTTAGCTGCTAATCATAAAGGCCGAGAAAATGGCTTCCCTACTTGGGCAGATTTTTTTTTCAAAGTTAAAAATATTACAATTTCTAAAGTCATTCTAATATTGGTGGCATAGCTTCCAATAACATAGCAAGATACAAGCCACTCTCCTAGGACAAATGTCAAGGATTTTGTCTTCCTTGGATGGATCCACAGTCAATGGTCATGGAAGCAGCAGTCAAGAGATCAAGACGCATCACAGTAGGTTTATCTGTTGCACAAGACCTCTCTAGCGTATTGAAAAGCAAGGGTGTTACTTTGGAGACTAAGCCATGGTACTTCCAATAACCTCATGCATATGGAAATTGGACACTGAATAAGGAAGACTGAAGAAGAACCGATGCACTTGAACTCTGGTGCTGGAGGAGAGCAGACCGATCTGTATGGCAGAAGTCAGGCCCGAGTGCTCCTTAGAGACGAGGATGGCATGACTTCAGCTTAACCTATTTAGGGCATGCTGTCTAGGGAGACCATTCCCTAGGGAAGGACGTCGTGCTGATAAAATAGAAGGGCAGCGAGAAAGAGGAAAGCCCTCAAGGAGATGGCGCCACACACTGGCTGCAACACTGGGATCAAGCCCAGCAACAATTGGGCTCGGGACTGGGCAGTGTTTCCTTCTGTTGCACATACGGTCCCTATGACTAGACAGCAAGTAACAGCAGAGTGCATGCAGGAGTGGCTCAGGGGTAGAATTCTCACTTTGGTGGTGTGGTGGGTTATGTATTGGACTGCTAACCACAGGGTCAGCAGTTTGAAACCACCAGCCACTTTGCAGGACAAAAACGAGGCTTTCTACTTCCATAAAGAGTTCCAGTCTTGGAAACCCATAGGGACAGTTCTACCCTGTGTTACGGGGTTGCTCTGCATCAGACTTGACTCAGGGACAGCGAGTTGGGCTTTTTCGGTGACTACCTGCCAAATTACGTCTGCTCCAAGGGCACTGTAGACGGAAAACACTCGGTGGTTTTCAATTTTGTTAGGGTTCAACCACACCCACAGTACAAAGAGCTGCCCTCTCTTTTGATAACTACACTATTTACCTAAGAACTTGTATCTAATCAGGTAGTGCGTTTCAATTTGAGTTTCATTTGCTTGACTGCTGCCATAAATGGTGAAGGGTCAAGTCATCCTGCCTGACCTGAGAAGTCATCCATTCACGGAAGGCCTGAAAGGCACCACATTTCGTCCACATTGACACACACAGGCTCACGTTCACTTCTACTCATAAGGGACCCAGCAGGATTCCACTCTAGTATGATAAATGCATCAATTAATTCTAAAGGAGTTAAAAGAATCTTAAGCTTTTGGGGAAAGAAACAAAGTTCTGAATGACTTCTATTAAATAAAAGATCCCCAATAGCTCATTTTTACAAGGGTTTTTAAAATTTTATTCAATATTATCAGCTTATTTATGGACCTCATTTATGGATCCCCTATAACTTGGGGAAACCACCTGCCAAATCAATTGTAGTACGAGCTGGCCTCTTTTGAGGGCTTAATGTAGGTCAGGCACTATTCTAATCCCATCATTCTTCTTACCGGATCATTGTATTCTGACGACCACCCCATGGGGTAGGGGCTGCTCTTAGACCTTTTGCACAACCTTTCCCTCCCTTGTGGCTCTTCCCACGGCAGCGCGTGTGTTATGTCCAGTGATGTGATGTGATGTTCAGTGTTGGCCATTCCCCGTTTCCTGAACCAATCACCTGCCATTGCTGTCCTCTGATGTCCCCCGACTTCTCGGAGCCAAGAGGAGCCCTGGTGGCCTAGTGGGGACACTTTGGACTGCGAACTCCAAGGTCAACAGCTTGAAGCCACGGGCCACTCTGTGGGAGAAGTTGGGGCTTTCTACTCACGGAAAGAGTAAGGCTCTCGAAATCTCACAGGGCAGTTCTGCCCTGTCCTGTAGGGGCAATGTGAGTCAGCATCCACTTGGCGGCCGTGAGTTTGGTTTGGGTTCTCGAAGCCACCCTCCTCAGTGCCTAACCGTTGCACCTCCCTTTCCAGACTGTACTCCATTCCCTGAATCCTCCTAGATGTTTTACTCTATCCAGGCGGCCTGTCTTACTTTTTGAAACCTGTAACTCCCCGAGTACAGATGCCCCGAGGCAATGGACCCAACCAGAGGGAATCAATCTCAGGTGTTGTCTTCACCCAGCCGCGCCCCTCCCCGGGATGGGAAGTGTGACCCCACATGATTTCCCTGTCGCCCAGGAACCACCTTCATGGAAAAACAGAACTGCAATGTTGCAACATCAGGAATTTGTTTGTTCAAGATTCTTACTGAAATACCGCGTGGTACTGTTTTCAGGCAAAAAAAAAAAGATCCCTAATCCCCTTTTGGAAAAGAGGAAGCATCCTGGTTTAAGCAGGGGAAATGGATGAGGCCCAGTCGGGGAGAACATGTGAGTTTGTCCTTTTCCTCTGGCTCATGTAGTCTCGGGATCCCAAGACTGACTCCTCCATAGCCTAATTGGCTCGCGGGGCCCTTGGCCGGCAGTGAGCTCTGGCAGCTCTACCTGCCAGCGGCTGGACCAGGGATTAGCACGCTGGTCACCGGAGTCGCTCCAAATGCCCAGCCACGTGCTGGTTTAGTGTCGTCAAGGTCCTGAGAGTTTGGAGGAAGAACTGCTGCTACGAGGAGCCAGGATTCAGAAAGGCCCTCTCCACTGCTGGAGAAAAGGGCCTTCAAAATCGGCTTCGCCCTCAGTCTCTTAAATACGGACTTTAAAATGAGCTGAGCACAAAACCGGTCTTACCTGGATGATAAATATCTTGGGTTTTCCAACCAGACTCTGACACTTGTCTCCTTTGAACAAGTCGATCATGGCCTGGATCTCCAGCTTGGTGTCGTAGGCGTAGATGTGATTGCCTTCGCCGTGACTCAGGAAGACACACAGGAAGCAGTCGGCGTCCGCGTGGCTGGAGGTCGACGCTACCACGGCCCGAAAAGTTCACGTGGAGACCTTGTTAGCCACTACATAGAAAAACCCAACTAACCCAAATAAACATAAAGATGGACAGCTATCGATCCAGAGGGGAGGATTTTGTAAGGCTAAATATCTGTGAAAACACCGCTTGGTCTCATTGTCATTTGTATCAAAGACGGGGCTTTCTACACCTATGAAAGTGACAGTCTCGGAAACCCACGGACACTTCTACCCTGTCCTCTAGGGTCGACATCATGTAACTTGAGGGCAGTGAGTTATAAACAGGACCATTAAAATACTCATTCTTACTGGAGGAAGATGAACAGAAAGCAACACACCTGTGTGAATTTGGAGGTAAAGTTCTTCTGCCTTAAGATTGTCAAAGCATTTCACTTCAAATCCTAGATCTGAAAGCCTGGTGACATATTAAAGTGAGTGTTAACTTCCGGTCTCTTTCTTGAGGTCACATACCATGACCTTAACTTTTGAAAAAATCAGAACACATCTCTATGACATTTGCTTGTGCAGAAGAGAAATAGAAACGAAATACGTTAATGATGGTCTGCCTTCAAAGTGCTGAGAGTACAGTAAGCGAAGACAGAACTCGGGCAAGCTCTTCAGGAGAAGCTGCTAGCTCACACGAGCTTGCTCACGCACACCTCATCCCTGTTGGCAACCTCTGGTAGGTAATCCTGCTCTCAACTTAGAATCTCATCTTGAGTATTCATAATACCACCTGCGTCGCAGATTTTCTCGATCTGCAGTGGTGCCACGCCTCTCTGGCAGTGTTAACTTCCAGAAGAATCGCTCATGATTGAAGATTAAAGCAATTCCTCTCTTCCTGTGGTCCATTCTGTACTTCTCTGCCGGATCAAACATTTCGCTGTTAATGAAAAGTGGAACCAGGTGTTACCTCAAGTCAGGTTAGACACTGACCTCCCCTGGGGTCCAGGGTCAATGGGTAGCATACAGAGACAGCTGCTTCTGGTGCCACTGCCAGACCGCTTCACTGGCAGGCATGGGGGGCGGGGTTTGTCTCACTTACTGCCATCCAGGTAATTCTGACTCACAGAGCCCTGGTGGTGGGTGTCCTGTTAGGTATGGGCTGCTAATCGCACGGTAGGCAGTTTGAAACCACCATTCGCTCCACAGCAGAAAGATGAGCTTTCTACTCCCATACAGATTTACGGTCTTGGAAACCCCCGGGGGGCAGTTTTAACTGTCCTCTATGGCTGCTGTGAGATGGGGGAGACTGCAGTTGTTGGTAAACAGCGGCTGCTCTCAGTGCCCCAGCCCGGCTCAGAGGTCTCACCGCTCGAGAATCCATGCTCTAATGGGGGTCCCGCAGCCAGGGGCAGCCACTCACCTGCACACATATCCACCAACCTCCCCCAAACTAAATCCTGACCTTTGCGCCACTACTGCCCAGTCTTGCTTTGGTTTCCACAGGTGGATCATGACCCCTGCGATTCCACCCCCACCCCCACCCCCACAAAGGAGAGATCTTAGAAAGAGCACGTTTTTTGTTTTTTACCTTCTATAAAAGGCATCTGTTTCTGTCATGTTTTGTTCTCCTCCTGTCAAAAGGAAAAAGGTTGAGTTTTGTTCATTATCTTTCTGATTTACGGGGGTGAAACCAAGTAGGAGCTCCCATCTCCCCTTCAGTGTCTGAAGTCTAAGACTTGGCTTGTCGCTGGTCTAAAAAGCCATGGTCAGCAAAGACGGGGTGTGTGGGGCAGTGATGGGAGACTGTTAATCAATATAACAGGAGAACTACACGTGCCGATGGGGTCCTTTCTTTCCAACTCCCAGGTCTGGGGTCCCGAAGGACAAAAGTTCTTACAAAGAGAAACAGGGACGTGACGGCTCAGACTCCTTCACAGCAAACTGTACTTAGGGAAGGCCTAGCATTCTGGAGCTGGAATGAAATGGGAAACAGCTGGATAGGTAAAACGATTTGGGATTTTTTTGTTTGTTTGTTTTTTGTTTTGGTGGCAAATACTTTACTGAAACACTGTAAATGGCGGTCTGTGGTACATGCCGGCTCTTGTGGTGAGAGCCGGGAAAAGGCAGACCTGTAGGGGGAGGAAGGAGGGGGCAGCGGCTGCGGCGGATGAGAGAGATTTCCTATCACCTGAATGACACACCTGCATTTCTAACCCTGTGATGAGGGCTTCCCCCATCCCCATCCCTGCCCCCCACTCCCTGGACAACCTCTCATTGACTGCCCCTCTCATGGACTAGTGAGTCGGCATCCACTTGATGGCAGCGCTTTTGGTGTTAGTTTAACGCCAGAGTCCTGGGGTGTTGCCAATGGTGAAGGTAGTTGGCTCTAACCCACCCAGAGGCGGCTCAGATGGCAGGCTTGGCAACCTGCTGCCAACCGTCACAGCCTTGAGAACTAACCCCCAGGCGGGCGGCGGCACACATGGGGTGGGTGGGTGGGGGGGTCATGGGTCAGAACTGACACTGCAGTAACGAGCATGCCTCCGGGGCAGCACTGTGCTATCCGCATGGTCCACCCAGCACTCACTATCCCCAGATGGCTACCGAGTGCTTGAAATGCAGCCAGGTGCCCCGGAGGGACTTCATTTTTCACTTTATTTAAATTTAGGATCTGCATCTAGCTGCAAGGTCAGCAGTTCAAAACCACCACCCACTCCACCGCAAAAGAGTGACAGTCTCAGAAACCCACAGGGGCAGTCAGTCCTGTCTGTCCTGTGGGGTGGCTATGAGCCAGAACGGACTCGACGGCAGCAGGTTTGGGTGTTGGTTTGCGGTAGCTGGCGGCTGCTCTACGGGACACGACAATCAAGGTCCACGGACTGGTGAATGTCTCTGGAGCTCATACACTTATTTCACAGCTTGGAGGGGAGAAAGATACAGTAATGCAAAAACAGAAATAGCACCCGTCTAGCAAGAGGCACTCCTCAGTGGAGGCATTTGAAGGGGGTCTGGCCTCTGGGAGCAGACTCCCATCCATCTCCTAACCCAAAGGGTCAGGCCCCTGACTTTCCCCGGATACCTGACTGTTTGACCCCCACTTCTCTCTGATGAGAAGACAGTGTGGGCTAGAGAGTGGGGAAGTGAAGTCAGCTCCAGTCTCCTGTCCCCACCACTGTCAGCCTATTCCTCCGGGCATCCCTCCACCAGAAATTCCCAACCTTCTGCCCAACAGGTCCAAAGTCATTTTTCTCCACTTTGTGCATCAGACTTGCTGGAAAGCAGGAATTCCTGGATCCCAACCAGGATGGGGTGGAAATCTTGGGGGGGAGGGTGGGCAATCTCTATTTTCAAAAAGGTGATTCACTAACTCCGAAGTTTGACAGTCAATGGGACCCCTCCAGCATGCCTCCCCTCCCCTTCCCGAGGCTTGCTGCCGCGTCAGAGATTGCTGATCGATGGCACCTGTGGCCACGGCGAGCCCGGGCCCTCTGTGCTTCCTGCTGCGGGCACTGCTTGAAGGAAATGCTCCGTGGATTTTCAGGCCTTCCGTTTTAAAAAAGCTACCCAGGAACCATCTCCCTTTCAGAACGTTACCACCTTATCTTTTTACCAATTATGCGGGGGTTGGGTGCCTTCAAGTGGGGCCTGTCTAACTCACTGCGACCCCAGAAGGCAGAGTAGAACTGGCCCCCTCACGGCCTCGTTAGGGGAGCCCCTCTCCAAGCCTCTTCCCCTGCGGGGCCACCGTCGTTTTCAACCACCAACCTTTCCATTCATAGCTGGGCATTTAACTGGTGCCCCACGGGGGCTCCCTAAAACCAAGTAAACGATGGGGAAATGGATTAACTGTGAACCCAACACCCTGAGTGTATGCCTGCAAGGCCACAATCTCCTCACCTGCACAGTCTTTAAAGCAGCGAGGTCCTTCCATGGCAGAGAAGCTGGCAGCCGGCGCAGCAAGCTCACCCTCCTCAGGTGTCTGCATGGAGTCAACTGCTGGGCCTGCAGTGGGTCAAAGTGTACCTGGTAAGGGCTGTGCCAAGTGGCCACTGGCCAAGCTACCCCAGGGCCCCGGGGGTGAAAGTCCTGGAGGCGTATGCGTTACTGCATCCTGAGAGCTCCCGCTTTCCATTCCCAAAGGAAACAGGCAAGTGCTGCAGAATCAAAAAGGCTTTTATGAACAAGACTAACCTATGACCCAGCCATCCCTGTACGTGTTGATATAGATGCCAAAGAAAGAGCCGTAGCGTGGACAGATACACGCACACCGTGTTCATCGCAGCACCGCTCAGAGCAGCAAGAAGATGGGGACAAGCTAAATGCCTCTCAGTGGAGGACTGGATACAGACAGATGGACTCGGGTGCACACAACACAGTGAGATACTAGGCATGGCTACAGAGCAATGATGGCTTCATGACGTGGATCAATGTGGAGGGCTTTAGGCTGAGTGACCTTAGCCAAAAATGGTCAAATACTGGATAAGACTACTGTTCACATATTTTATTAAAATGAAGATAAAGGTTTCCATACCCAAAGAAATAAGACTGATGGTTCCCAGTGGTAAGAGGGCAAAATGAGGAAGAGGAAGCAACAGGTCGAGGGCACGTGGGTGTTAAGGAGCGTCAAGGGGAACAAAATCTTCCCGAAGAAGAGAGAACAAATACAGGAGGAGCAGGGCAAGCTATTAGGAAGTTTGATCAGATGGTTAAATTGTTGAAAATAAAAGCGATCTGAAATGTAAAGCCTCACCTAATTCATACTTGAGGTATTTTTGTTTGTTTTAATCAAAATGTAGAGCTACTGTTTCTTGACACATCCTCCATCTAGGTCTATAGATTTCTGAAGACAATATTTCTCAAAACACTGGTGGCACAGTGAGTTTCACGTTGGGCTGATAACCACAAGGTCAGCGGTTCGAACCCACCAGCTGCTCCACAGGACAAAGATGAGACTTTGTAGTCTTGTAAACCCAAAGGGACAGGTCTACTCTGTCCTGTAGGATCACTATGAGTCATAATCAACTTGATGGCCGTTTGTTTCAAATCCTTCCCTGAAGAATTCTCTCGCGCTGATTTACACCACATCTGAACTGCAGTTTTGGCATCGGGGGGCTCAAATCGAGACTCTTCGATGTGTTCTTGGAGTGTGCGCATAAAAGGAAGCCTGAAGGGGCAAGATCAGGGCTGTAGGGGGGAAAAGGTAAGGTTTCCCACCCAAATCCGCGGCAGGTGCACTGCTTTGAAGGGGAAAAGTCCTCTGAGAAACCTGCCGGAGCTTTTTCTCACCAACGCAGGTGTCGATTTTCTTCAAATGCCTATGAACACCCATGATGCTCTGGTGTCCCTGGAGAACATTTGCAGAGATGACCCCTGGGAGTCCTAAACAGGCATCAGCAGAACCTCCTGAGCTGGCCTCTGCTCCAACGTCACTGGACAAGCAGGTCCCTGCGGAGGACACTCTTGATGGGGCCTTTTTAGGAAGGTCTCACGCTAATGAGACCAAGCCTAGGAAGGGTATGACTGACAGAACTAGTCTGCATCCAGCCACTCATCACAGGGGCATGTGTACGCGCGTTTTGTTAGAATGAACCTAGATGTGTGGGGACATTGAATAAGGAAGACCAAAGAAGAATCGGTACATTTGAACTATGATGTTGGCGAAGAATATTGAAATGTACCACGGACTGCTACAAGAACAAACTCGTCTGTCCTGGAAGAAGTACACCAGAGTGCTCCTTAGAGGCAAGGATGGCGAGACTTCATCTCACACACTTTGGGCATGTTGTCAGGAGAAACCAGTCCCTGGAGAAGGACATCATGTCTAGTGAAGTGGAGGGGCAGCAAGAAAGAGGACGGCCCTCAAGGAGAGGGATGGACATAGTGGCTGCAACACTGGGCTCTCAAGCACAGGAACCATTGTGAGGACGGCGCAGGGCAGGGCAGGGTTCGTTCTGTTGTGCGTCCAGTCGCTATGGCTCTGAGCTGACTGGATGGCACCCACCACCACCACGAGGGTATATGATCTGGACACCCCATCGCCATGCTTTTTGACTTACTGACCCTCAGACTTTCAAAGGCGCTTCACATTTCTGCCTGCTGTGTGCCAGCAATTGGGCTTGGACTCACCATGGGCTGGTGGGGCAGAGTGGAACTGCTCGGCAGGGTTTCCGGGGCTGTAACCTTTACCAGAGCAGACCCCTGGCCTTTCTCTCAGGGAGTGGCTACAGGGTTCAAAGTGCCAAGCTTTGGTTCTCAGCCTAG